GTTCCGCAGCAATCAAGCTCGGGATCAGATGGGTCCGCAACGGTGGACGAGAAGAAGAGGAAGAGGATGTTGTCGAATCGCGAATCGGCGAGGCGATCGCGGATGAAGAAGCAGAAGCAAATGGATGATTTGACGAGCGAAATCACCCGACTGGAGATGTCAAACAATCAACTTCAGCAGGGAATCGAAGTGAAGGAGCGGGGCTACGCTGAGATAGAGTCTAGGAACAACGTGATGAGGGCTCAAGTAATGGAGCTCACCGATCGTTTGCAGTCGTTGAACTCGGTGCTCCAGATCTTCGAAGAGGTTAGCGGCCTTGCTGTGGACATCCCTGAGATACCTGATCCGCTGCTGAGGCCGTGGCAGGTTTCCTACCCAACGCAGCTCATCCCGGCCTCTTCCGACATGTTTCTAGGCTGACAGTCTTTGAATAGCTTAAGCTTGTTCTTGTTGTATGTTCATTGTACAAGTCTTTTGTGTTTGTTATTTTGATGATGGTCTTTGGATTTTCGTTGTTGGTTTTTTGTTAGTCGTCTTTGTTGTTTCGATTTGGTGTCCCAGTAATTGTAGTAGTCCCTTCGCACAAGCTTGTTTCATCTTTCTCTGTATAAATGAAATGTTTGTGGTTGGCGGGTTTGGTATGAGTCTCTCCTTTTTCTTCCGTGCTACCATTGGCTACTGATTGTTTTGCTTTGATTATGTTGGCATATTAGTTAGATAACTGAGATTTCCCAAGTACTTATCCCAACGGGTTGGGTTGGATTGTAAATTGCCGTGTTACTCGGGGCAAGATATTCATTCAACAACACGTGGTGGCTATTTGTATGGTTAATCTTCGTCGAGTTCTGGGACATAAGGATCAGAACAAACCCATGGACCGAGGACTCCCTCCTCTTTGAATAAAAGGATTACAGCTCACTTCAAATTTAAACTTAATAAAATACTTTTAGGTTTTGAAAATTGAATGCTTTCATACTGCGAATCTTTTTGAATCCTCCGGGATATGGTGTGATGAATTTCCCGTTAAGCAACAGAAAGTTGGAATAACCACAAAACTTTGCGCGTGATTGTAGTCACGTCTTGGACTTGTTTTCAAGTGACCAAATATTATATGCCTTGAGAGGAAATGATAGTTGATAAGATCATCCACACTTGAATAAAACCTCAACTACTAATTAAAGAATGAAATAGAAGATAAATAAATAAAAATGAAAAGCTTCTGTATAATATTTGGAAGCTAATAATAATCACCAATTTATGTTGCAAGATTATACGATATCATCATCATCATCATCATGTGAAATAAGAGGAACGTATCATGACGCATTAGCAGCAGCTGCTAAGCTTGCATTTAGTTTTAACATAAAGCAACGCTAAATTCATAGTACTGTGAAATCTAAAACATGACTAGTGATTGAGAATTGACAATCGACAACCTCAATCAAAGGCACTTGAGTAGTGAGCGAGAGAGAGAGAGACCACTCAGTTGTCGTAAGTACGGCACTCGTCTGTTTCGGGGTTGTCCTTGCAGAAAGTCTCCAACGGGTCGGAAGTTTTCTTGTTGTCGCGGGCATGGCTGGCCGCAGCACTCAGCTCCTCAACCTCGTCCCATGCTGCCACGCACTCGCCGCTTGCTGGGTCGTCTGAGCAAGTCTCCTCTGCACTCTTGATGCTTTCAGCCACCTTCTCCGATATTTTATCTGGGGCTGCGCTCACTGGCCTTATCATGGTCATGCGCCCACCGCCCAATAGCTGCTGGCTACCCGACCTTCTCCAGGGGTTGCTGAGCCATGCTGGCTGGAAAGCCTTTGGTGTCTCGGTTGCTTTGGCCAACACTCTTGGGGTTGAGAGGTTCACTCCAGCTACAGTTGCTGTTGCCATTTCTCCTCCTCTTCCTTCTCCTTGTTTCTGGTTTGGTTTTGGTTTGAAGTGGTAGGCTTGCTTGCTTGCTTGACAACAATAGAGAGATTGGGTTTGGGCGATAACGAGCATGAGGGTTATAATTGGAGTCTGCAATGTTTCACGATCGCACACTTCTTATCGAATCACAGCCAATCATCTACTTCCACGTTGGAACTACTTGAGATATTTTAGTAGGAAAAAAATCGCACTTTTAGAAAAGACCTCCTATTACTATTCAAGTTTGTTTATGTACATACATACATACATACAGTAAAACGACGGGTATGTATGTATGTGTGATTTTGTTGATACTTGAGAGCTTGATATTTTGGACCTTTCAATTCTATCAAGTATCAAATTATTCATTTGATTCTTCAGAGGCGTGTAGCACCATGATCCAGTTAACTCCTCTCGCTAAATGTCAAGAAGAGAGAGCACCTAGTTTTAAGTTTAAGCCAAGCAAATAAAAATGCTAGAATTATTCAGGAGCACCTAGTTTTAGTTTAAGCCAACCAAATAAAAATGCTAGAATTATTCAGGAGAAGAAAACTATTAACAAAGATTCTTAGAGGAACCACTGCTTTTCAGTTCTTATCTCAGCCACTGCTTTTCAGTACGTAAGCATTTCTTGTTTAACACGTTGCCCCAAAACCTTATGTACCATGCAACTCCAAAAATTAATTAAATTCTGAGAACCCATATGCACTTGAACAATCACTTTTGTACTCTTTGTGCGAAGGCTACAAGAAGCCCAGCTCATTAATTATAAATTGTAAGATGCGCATAGGCCGAGCTTGAATTACACAAAGATATAAATGAAAACCAACTTCAACTCACATCCATGTAAGTCCACATACAAACTCGTGTCTAATGAGCAAATTACATGCTTAAGAGAATATGAAGCATAAATCCGCGGTTTTCATTTCCATTCGTGCATCACGATTAAAAGTAACTTTTCCGTGCATTTATCCACCATCCAGTGACATTTACATATTACTCACGCAAACAAACTATGGCAAACATCTGGAATTCCAAGCACCTAGAAATGAGAAACTCACTGACCAGCTGATGGATTCGTCAACAGTTCAAGTGATTTAATTAAGTGATCTACTGCAACTGACACATCATCAAATGCCAACGCCCCAACTGCAAATCTGGCAGCCTTATGTGCCTCGGCAATTTTCTCAGGTGATGGCTGGTAGCTACTGTCATACTGGTATGTCTTTGCAGGAGTAGGAGTAGGAGCAGGTTCTGGAACAGTCCCATTTCTGTTGCTCGACTGGTATTGGGCAGTTGAAGGAGCTGACTGGAGAGAATAGGAAGGAGCTGACTGGGCAGCGTAGGAAGGAGCTGACTGGGCAGAGTAGGAAGGATCAGAGCCCTGATAGTAAGAGGGATAGTGGGATGTGACTGCTGGAATATTGCTTTCTGTAAAACTTGGATAAGATTGGAAATTAGGATAGGAGAAATTATTTTCATGAGAAGGATAGTTATGTGGCAAATGCTGTTGGGGTTCATGCGGGTAGGGTTGCTGCTGGTATGGCTGAGAATAATCAGAAGTTTCTGGTCTATTTGTTGGAGGAGGTGGGAGGAAATCATGGGAAGAGTAACCAGCAGTTGAGTAAGACCGAGGTGGTGGCACATTGTTAGAAGAATGCTGGCCATTGACTTCATCATGGAACTCAGGTGAGGATTGAAGGCTAGCTGAACGCTGGATTTTGGCATTATCATGAAACTGAGGAGGTAAAGTGTCTGTAGAGTGCTGCTTGTTGACTTCATCATAAAACTGGGGTGATGGATCAGATTGTGGTCCAGGACTGGTAACTGCAGCTTCACTTGGCCCAAGATCCTGCAAGGATAGACATAGGTAAAGATCATATCATACAACAAGCTCAAAAGTAAACTAGTGTTAAGTTTAGAACCATACATATGAACCACTCATCCCACTCGATGGAACTGAAAGATCATCATCTCCAGCAGGGGGCCCTGCTTGAGGCTTCCTTCCTTCTTTCAAAGCTTTCCTTATATCTGCTGCTTTCCAAGCTGCATACTTTTGTTTCTGCTCAAGCTATAAAAAGATAATAAAAATATAAGCCACCCCCAAAATCCAACCGTCCCCAAAGAAAAATGTACATCACAAATCATTCTAGATGGAGTTGTCTAATCTTAATGAAAAGGATAAATGACACTTCAAGTGGCATTGCAAAACATAATCAGAAACTCACATCAGGCTGAAGCACGCCAAACTGGTTAATAATCTCAAAGAAAATGCTAGCAGCATAAAATGTTTTTGCAGTATTCCTGCAACAAAGAAAATGTAAAATCCCGTCAAGAAACATGAGCTGACAAATTCACAGCACAGGAGATTTGTATTTCACGAAACCTAGAGGTTTAGATCTCAAAAGTTAAATTCTCTGAGAGTGAAAATGATTGTTCATAAAGGACATGAGAACTCAAAGTCTCAATCTTTTTTTCAAAGAAAATGCAAAAAAGTGGAAAATCTGACTTACAAATCTGCTCGACCAGCACGATCTTGCTTGTCTGCCTTCCCAAAAACATTTAAGGCAAATCCCTCAAGATACAGATTGTCTTCTGGCCCCAACTGCAGTGACTTCTTATCCTATAGAGAAAAAGTGTCAATAGACATTGAGATGGGGAACAGAAATCTATGAATTTTATCATAATATAATTTCACAAAAACAGCAGCAGGACAAGTCTTCTGGTCGATAAATTATTTGGTTACAATTCAAGACTACTAATGGGAGATATTTGAGGGCCAACACAAACTTAAAGAATCAAAAATCTAACTCGCATTTTCACACTAAAAGTAATCATCTTTGCTCCCTAAAGAGTAATCCTAAGAGCCTCCATGGATGAACCTCCAATTATATGGTACAATTATAGGAACCCTGAAACTGCTTAACAATGAAATGGTAGCAAGACATGATCTTGTTGTTTAAAAATCACCATTTTTCATTATTGAGGCAAACGTATTCGAAAAAAAAAATACGGGCATTCCATGGAGCAGAAACATATGAGTTGCAAAACGGATCCCAAAAACTTATTTGGCACACCAAGCTTAGGCAACCAGTACTACTGAGCCTCAGTACTAGAGCAACTAAAAATCAGAGTCAATTAAGATTTTTGTACCCAGTATCAGGCAATGGCAGCATGCTAAAATTTTACAATTATTTTCCTCAGTTTTGTCAGAAACCAAATAGAACCAGTTGATAAAACAAAATTTTAAAAATCCCATCTTCCAAAATAAAAAGTCATAAAGAAGCGGTGAAAAAGAAAAGACCTTTTCAAGCTGCTTCATGAGGGAAATAAGGAGGGAATTGGTGGTCTTGGTACGCTCGTTCTGAGGGATCTTCAGCCCTCGCTCCATTGCGTACAATCGACCTAAATTGAATACAAAATCAGAAGATTAAATTAACTTAGACACAAAATATAAAATTCGTAATTTTGTTCTCATAAAAAAAGTTGGGGCCAAGAGAGAGAGTTACAGTAATACGCGACGAGAGGCTCGTGTTTCTGCAACTCATCGGCACGTTGGAGGTACGGCAAGAGGAGCTTCGCGGGCTCGTTATCGCTCGCCATCTATGGCTTCCTCTGTTCGATCACAGAGAGAGAGAGAGAGAGAGAGAGAGAGAGAGGAGTTGGGCAAGGCAAAGCTTTGTGTTTGAGTACAAGGCAGAGAGAGAGAGAGTCTACAATGGGTCTGACCGTCGTCTGACGATCATTCAACGACGTCGTCAAGACTTAACGAGCACGATTAAACAGGTTAGCTATTGAATTGGGCCATGAAGTGTACGGCCCAACTCACTGGATCAATATGAAGAAGGGCCCACCGAATTCCAACTTCAGGTGGAGTCCACTTACATTTGGGCTGGGGCGGGTCCCATACTGCGTTGTGATGGGGCGAAAGGCGAAAGGCAAAAGGCGCGCGTACGGGAGAAGAAACCACTCTACAGTGCTCAACTAAACTATAAAAAAAAAGGTAAAAAAAAAAAGAGAAAAATCAAATGAATGATAGGATGCTCGTTCACAAAGTCTGCCATCGCCTCTCTCTTCTCTCCCTCACTCCACACACTCTCCCTTTTAAACCCGTCCAATTCCCATCGGCCCTTTCACCCGCGAGCATCGGAGCACGTCCCCTAAACGGCACCGTAAGGTCCCTCAGAACTACAGCCGTCATGGCCACCTCTAGGCTCCGCAACCTCGTCCCTGTCAACGCCGTCGCTTCGGAGGATGGCAGTGGCAGAGCCTCCAACGGCTCTGTCTCTTCTACCGCAGCTACCACTGCACTTGAAGATGAAGGTATTTAATCGTAATATATGTGTTCATGTATATGTTGTTGGATATGAAGTTTCATAATCTCTTTCAACCCAAAATCTGCTTTGAAATTTATAAAATTTTATTGTCTTGCTTTTCCTCATCACTTAGTTGATTGGTATGTGAGTTGCGAATTTTAAACTTGAAACATTTTCTGCTCGTAATTCCAATGTTTGTATATATTTATGTAGAGGACTCCACGTTGGGAGTTAGATATCGTCTTCCTCCACAAGAAATTAAAGATATCGTGGATGCTCCACCACTTCCCGCCTTGTCATTCTCACCACATAGGGATAAGATACTGTTTCTCAAGCGGAGATCTTTGCCGCCATTGGCAGAAATTGCTAGACCAGAGGAAAAGCTGGCCGGCGTTCGTATTGACGGAAAATGCAATACAAGGACTCGGATGTCGTTTTACACGGGCATTGGGATCCATCAATTGTTGCCTGATGGTACCCTTGGGCCCGAAATAGAGGTACATGGATTCCCTGATGGTGCTAAGATCAATTTCGTTACTTGGTCCCCGGATGGTCGCCGTTTAGCCTTCTCCATCCGATTTGATGAGGAGGAAAGTACCAGTAGTAAGCTTAAAGTGTGGGTTGCCCAAGTGGAAACGGGGATCGCTAGACCTTTGTTTAAGTCAGACGAAATATTTTTGAATGCCGTTTTTGACAATTTCGTTTGGGTGAATGATTCTTCTTTGCTAGTTTGCACCATTCCCCTGTCGCGTGGAGACCCGCCAAAGAAACCTTGGGTTCCTTTTGGACCAAAAATTCAATCTAACGAGCAGAAAAGCATTATCCAAGTTAGGACCTTCCAGGATTTGCTGAAGGATGAGTATGATCAAGATTTGTTTGACTACTATGCCACGACACAACTTGTTTTGGCTTCTTTGGATGGGACGGTGAAGGAAATTGGTCCTCCGGCTGTATATACATCAATGGACCCCTCCCCGGATCATAAATACCTTTTAATTAGTTCAATTCACAGACCATACTCTTTCATTGTACCATGCGGAAGATTTCCCAAGAAGGTGGATCTGTGGACAGCTGATGGGAAGTTTATTAGAGAGCTTTGTGATTTGCCTCTTGCTGAGGACATCCCCATTGCAACCAACAGTGTGCGAAGAGGGATGCGTTCAATCAACTGGAGAGCAGATAAACCATCAACACTCTACTGGTATGCATATGTTGCCCTGCTTTTAAACTGTTTGGATATCTTAAGTGACATCTGTTTGAGACCTTCTCTCTCTCTCTCTCTCTCTCATAATATTACGTCAAGTACTCAATGAGGACTCTCTATAAAGGAGTAGTTTTCTAAACGTTAATTAGTTAAATAAATTTCTAACAAATGCGCTCGAAAAATGAAAAAGCAGAATGACAGTCTATACTGTGTTTTAATTCCACATCGTTGTTACTAAACTATCTAAGCTTTCTTCTACGACTTGTACAGAGTAGTTTGTGTATATGGTTTCAGTTTCCTTTTTGACTTTGTGAACTTACTAGGGTGGAGACCCAAGATGAAGGAGATGCGAAGGTGGACGTTTCTCCACGCGATATAATTTATACACAGCCTGCTGAGCCACTAGAAGGTGAAGGGCCAACGATCTTGCACAAACTTGATCTCCGCTATGGGTATGAATTTAAGCTATTAATTTTTATCTTCTATTGGCATTAATGGTGGATGTGTGCTGGAAAATTATTTCAACCTTTTCATACGTCTGTTTTATTGGGATTTTTGAAAGAATGATGTTTCCAAAGGGCAATGTATTTCTAAAGACTTCTAAAATTGTGCTAAGGAAGCATAAATACTTTATGGTGGGCCCAACACTAGCAATACTTGTTTTGATGCATTTGAACTTTTCAATTTCACAGAGGGATTTCTTGGTCTGATGATTCATTGGCTCTAGTTTATGAGTCTTGGTACAAAACAAGGAGAACGAGAACCTGGGTGATTTCTCCTGGATCGAATGATGTCAGTCCGCGCATCCTATTTGATAGGTCGTCCGAAGATGTATATTCAGATCCTGGCTCTCCTATGCTGCGGAGAACTCCTGCTGGGACGTATGTGCTTGCAAAAGTAAAGAAAGAAAATGAGGAAGGCACTTATATACTACTGAATGGAAATGGTGCTACTCCAGAGGGAAACATCCCATTCCTCGATTTGTTTGACATGTAGGTTTTTTATAATTTCTTGTTTCTGTTTCGTTCTTCAAGTGCTTATTCGTGCTGTGGTGGCATAAACCAAATTCTTTCAGAAATACAGGCAATAAAGAAAGAATATGGAAGAGTGACAAAGAAAAGTATTATGAGACTGTTGTTGCTTTGATGTCTGATGAGAAAGAAGGAGATCTGCCCATTGATCACTTGAAAATATTGACTTCCAAAGAGTCAAAAACTGAAAACACCCAGTATTATATCCTAAGCTGGCCAGAAAAGAAGGCATTCCAAATTACAAATTTCCCTCATCCATATCCACAGCTGGCATCATTACAGAAAGAGATGGTCAAGTACCAGAGAAAGGATGGGGTTCAACTGACTGCAACGTTATACCTTCCACCAGGCTATGATCCATCCAGAGATGGCCCTCTTCCATGTCTAGTCTGGTCTTATCCTGGAGAATTCAAAAGCAAAGAGGCTGCTGGACAAGTTCGTGGTTCTCCTAATGAATTTGCTGGCATAGGTCCAACATCTGCTCTCCTCTGGCTAGCTCGAAGGCATGCATTGCTCTTCTCATTTCTTACTATGTTTTGGTGTTTCTATTGTTCGTTTGGTTCTTATCTGTATTGGACCTTTTGGTGTCTGGATTGTTTTAAACATGCTGGACCTCTTTTTGATTGCTCCAAATCCTGCAGGTTTGCTATTCTATCTGGACCAACAATTCCTATAATTGGTGAGGGTGATGATGAAGCAAATGATAGGTAACGTTTTAGTTGCATGTGTATTAACATGAGTTTCTGCTTCCAGTCATAATTAATGTTCTTTATGAACTCATAAGCATTTCTCACAAGTTTAGTGACAGAAGATGATCCATATAACATAAATTCATGGCATTATTAACCAGGAAACAATGGATCAAATGAATTATAATGCTTATTCTTTGCCAGGTATGTGGAGCAATTGGTTGCAAGCGCAGAGGCTGCTGTGGAGGAAGTTGTTCGACGAGGAGTAAGCAACTTCATTTTTGCAGTGTGAACTTTTTTAGCAAGTTTCTGAATTTGAAATCTTTACCGAAAACCTCTTTTGGTGCTACCCTTACGAAGGTGGCTCATCCAAACAAAATTGCTGTTGGGGGACATTCATATGGGGCATTCATGACTGCAAACCTCTTGGCACATGCCCCTCATCTTTTCTCTTGCGGAATTGCTCGATCTGGTGCTTACAACAGAACACTTACTCCTTTTGGTTTTCAGGTACCTTACCAGAAGTTGATTTAAATATATATCCATGTGTTTTGATATCTTCTCTTGCCATGATATTGTCCCTATGATATCTTCTCTTGCCATGATATTATCCCTATGTAAATACTTTACCTTTTGTTTTCATGGCTTGACTCTTTAGTTTATTGGTGTAGAATGAGGATAGAACTCTTTGGGAGGCGACTAGTACTTATGTAAAGATGAGTCCTTTCATGTCAGCTAATAAAATTAAGAAACCAATCTTGCTTATCCATGGAGAAGAAGACAGTAATCCCGGAACATTAACCATGCAGGTAAACCTTCACTCCCTTCTTGCATTGCTGTTAACTACTGTGTTCACAACATCCTTTATGCCCTCTCAAAAAGAAAAGGGAAAGGTCCTTCATGCCCTCTCATTCTTTCACTCTTTCACGAGAGGGGACCCTTGATCTGTTTAATTTGTTCAACTCTTTGACAACATCAAAAACCATTTTTTCCCCTCTTTGTGCTTAGTGGAATGATGAATTTCTTGTTGTTTATGAGTTGTCAACTTATGTGCTATACAGTCGGATCGTTTCTTTAATGCTCTGAAAGGTCATGGTGCTCTTTGCCGCCTTGTGATTCTTCCCTACGAGAGCCATGGCTATGCTTCAAGAGAGAGCATCATGCATGTGCTATGGGAAACTGATAGATGGTTGCAGAAATATTGCGTGTCACACACTTCCACTGTAAATGTAGATCCTGATGCGAGTAAAGACGACTCAGGCACAGTATCTACAGATTCTGAAAGCAAAGCAATTGCTGCTAGTGGAGGCAGTGGCCCAGAGGTGTCAAATACTGAGCATGAAGGATTTGACTCGTTGCCAAGGTCATTGTTATGGTAATTTATTTACTGTTATAGAAATAGAGGAGATAACAGAAATAACTCTGAAATGAAAAGAAGCAAGATAAGTACTTGAATTCTTTCACATTACCTTTATGCTAAGCTCTTAAAAAATCCAAGCCTTGGTGTCTCAGAACTTCTGTCCAAACATATATACCTATCTAAATGTTGATGAATAATAGGTCCTTTTCTTAAGTTGTGGGTTTTTTCTTATTTGTTTCTCTCATAATTGATATGATGTAGAATAAATTGCTGATCTTGGCTTCTGAGGACTGTGGTTTGCACATCAATGTGGCGTACAAATGATACCTGACAACACAGATGCTTCCATCGTCGAAGGGCAAATTTGCATTTGTAACAATAGTGATGTATTATTATTTGCAAGATGCTTCCTCGTCGAAGTGAAATTTGCATTTGTAACAATATCGATCGATGTATCATTTGAAATTGTATCCCAAACTTCTTGTGCTCCAAAATCCTTTCAGCATTGCCGATGTTGAGTAGCCAATGCTTGGATAGGAGGGTTAGGGGCAGGGTAGGATTAGGTTTGCTTGTGTACCATAAATAAAGCTCTTGAATGAAAACTAACAAAAACTATTTATGCAGACTATCGCATCGCATGCGCTATTGAAGAGCTACATTTATTTAATTTTTTCAATCAATACTATTATAAATCCAATTATAATTTGACGAATGTCAATGGGTATTCTTGAATTTGTTACACTAACCCACCTTCCTTCAGTGCACCTAATTGTATTCGAGAGAGTTTGGAAATGAGAAACGCATAATCCTCATGAAAATTAGCACGCTTGATTCAATAGAAAACATCCCATAAATGCAATCACAAGGGAGCAACAAATATCAACAACATTAATTTGAAACAATACTGTAGCGCACTACAATAGTACGATAAACTTATTATTTCAATACCCAAACTAAGCTCATCTCAAGTTCAAGAGCCATGGAAAGGAGAGACTGATTAATACACTGTTGAAGCCGTCCATCAAATCATGATGGAAACTATCTATTCCTCAGCAACAACACTAATTTCACCTTTTTCAAGCAAGTCATAGAACACCCTCACTTTCCTCTGCTCATTCCAGTGATGCATTTTCCAAAGGCTTCCAGCAGCCAGAGCAAGCACCATGCCGTAACATATCTCCTTGACAACGCTTGGTCCTTTCAGTGTGGCATGAGCAATCTTATGACCAGCCATTCCGCTTGATCTGCAATAGAAGAGTTTCATATTCTCATTATGCTTGCACGATTAGGCACAAAGCTAAAATGAAACATATCAACAAGCAACAAGCCTACTGCATTCAAACTAACGCTGAAATTTATGCATATAACATCGTTCAGACTAATTTCAGAACAGAAACTAGGATTAGATATTACTCTGTTATAAAATCCATTAAACAAAAACTTCGTTTGAAGTTGGGCAACAAAGGGACACCACCTGGGATTGAACCCAAAACAGGACTTGGATTTCTGTGGCTTTATGAATAAGGCGTGTGTCCCCATGGGAAAACGTATACGAGAACATAACTAAACAGACCAGTATCACACTTTGGCAACAAAGTTTACGCATCAAAATTTAATCTTTTGATAGGATGCCTAGAAAGTTAAAAACCGTGGGAAACTTTCAGAACAAAAAGGAATAAATAAATATTTATTCACAAAATGAGTTTGGCATGACAAAAATTTATTTTAGTTAGGATCTAAACCTGTTTGCACAATCCATGAAAGTTTTACAAGTGTGTTATATGCTTGTTGGGGTCCAGAGTTTGGTTTTCTCCAAACCCTTCATCCCAAGATCGAATTTTATCATACATTTTCAGGTGATTCAAACAGATAAGTAAAAACAACACGAAAATCCGGATCGAATCTACTAGAAACGCAAAGTAATTGGATTCAAATAGCAAAGTAAATAAATCATTTCAGACAAACCCTATAAACACGATTGGATAGTTCAAAGAGAATAATAAGCGAAAAAGAAAAATCAAAATAAAAGAGTGAAGGGCGGTCGTCGACGTTAGGGTTTTACCTGAGACCGAGAAGGAGGCTGCGACAACAAGAAACGGTGGTGAGATTGTGAATCCGAAAATTGGGGCTTGCTACAAATTTCAATCGTTTGTCAACTGATTGGGCGTGAGCCTGCCCTGCTCTGTAGTATAGGCACTTCGTTCTTAATTGTGAAATCTCCTTTCTGCCCTGAAATGTAGTTTGTTTGTGGGCTTTATAATGTCCTACTGTAAGGTTGGTTTGTTTGTGGGCTTCGAGTCTTTACAAAGTTTACTGCCCATGCAAGTCTGATTTAGCCCATTTGATGTCTTCGTTCGTATTCTTCTACGAAACATACTCTTGAAAATACGTATATTTCATGTTTCTTTTTTTATTGTCGAAGCAGATGTTCTATAAAATAGAATACCTATATTTTATGTTAAGCGGTAGGGTTTTGCATACTACAGATATTTTCATTTAAGTCAAATTTAAGTATTGATAATTTGATATTCCCTAGCCCGTTTGATTTGCTATTTAATTGTTTGTTTATAGCGGCAGCTTAGGTGTGTGACTACGAAAAAGCTTTAGTTGTGTTTCTTTATTATTAAAAATACACCATCGTTTGGAATTATTTTAGTGTTGGTTGCTTATGGTGCAAAATTATAGTCAATGGTCGTAATTGGCCGGCAAATGGCACAGAAAAATGGTTGTTTTGTGAGAATTTAATACCGAACGCTGGCAGCCTCAGTTTTCAACAACCTCCTCACCCTTTCTGTAAATGCCAGATGTTGGCCTTTCCGAAAAATAAAACAAGTAACAAATTTATTTACCATAAAAAAAGCAGCAGAGCAGATTTTCTAAAACAATTACGTACATCAAGAAGACAGAGACACTTTTGGATTATTATTTTGGTTGGTGAATGAGACACCTCTGTCTTTGTGTGTGTATGAATGAATGCTACTTTTTCTGTGGATGCTAAACGGAGAAACGCTAGACATCCAGCATGCACTTACGGACAAAACACTAGACGTTGAGCTTTCTTTTTCTTTCTTTCTCATTTTACTATATATGAATATCATACACGGAACATAGGCTCTGCATTAGTTCAGGTAACATCCATATAATATGAATCTACACCAAACAAATATCATAATGTATTAATCTTTTTCCTTTTTTGTTTCTTATATAATTATAATTTATTGGGAAAAAAAATAGAGACGGAAAAGCAAATTTCACATTTATTCCTCTTATTATCGTCCACTCGTATCATAATATAATATGTACACGTAAATAGCAATATTTTAGTACCCTCTACGATCGTGTATCCAAGTGGGGACTCATAGTATAGAATAATTAATATAGAAAAAAAATTAAAAAAGGCGAACCTCGTTCTTTTCACCCCTGGGTTTTGGGTTTTTTATGAACATCTTCTATATTTATTTGTTTTTGAAGAGGAAGCCGCTCCCCACTCTTCACCTAAACACACACAAGTGACGAAGACGAACCCAAAAGAGGCCAAAAAACCGACACCCCAGAAACTCAAGAATTGACCAGCATGGCCTGCGCTTCACTGTGCTCCCCCAAATTCCTGGTGATCTTCTTCCTACTCTCAGCCATACCAATAGGCTACCTAATATCCTTGGAGTTGGCCAAACCCACCACCCACGTGTACCACTACCACAGCACCGGCTGGCTCCGAGAGTGCGCCAAGTGGGACGATCTGAACCGTCGCTTCCTCGTCTCGTTCTTGGGCGGCGGCATCGGCGAGATTCCCGTGCCCGAGGACGAAGATCACAAAGTTTTGCAGGAAGTGGCGGTGGTCAAACACGTTGACTTGGCTGGAAATGCTTCGCTGGGACTCGTCATCGACCGCCCCAGGAATCGCCTCCTAGTAGCCACTGCCGACGTCAAGGGAAACCGCTACGGTGCGCTGGCCGCCTACGACTTGTCCACGTGGGAGATGGTCTTTCTCACCCAGCTCAGTGGCCCAAGTAAGATATTTTTGGGTTGGCTTTTTCCGTGTTTATTGATATTGGATCTGGGCCGTTGCGCGTTTGCTTTTAGTTTACTTACTTTACCGTTTTCTGTATTTAATTGGGGGCAGGCCCACATAAAAGTTTGACTGCACTTATCTAATTCAGGTATATGTTAAAATGTAAAGAGCATGCATATGGTATGGTTTGGTAAATTGGTATTTATTTCCCATAAACTAAACTTTATGGTATTGTCTGCTAAGCTGTAGTGGTGGGTGTGTGGTTTTCCCTTAAATATCTTTAGGAGTTGGGTAGTAATAATTGATCAAACTAATGAATGACAGATGCAGACAGGTCACAGGTCCACCTGTTATCTTTTTTATTTCAAATAATCGTAGGCGTGGGAGTTGTGACTTGTTGAATTCAGAAGAGGCGTAGGCATGGGGTTTTCTTTTTTCTGCTGTTTGTTATATCCGCTAAGAAAGAGACGTGACCATTTCTCACTATAAAGATTTGGTTACCTTACCGTACATCCCACCACAACACATATTTCACAATGGTAGGATTCGCGTGAGGCTTTTCGCACAAGATGTTGGTAAATGACTTGTTAAGTGAGATTCCATTTAAATAAATGTGCCTGTTCGTTTTTGACCTTTAGGGCTTGTTTGATATGGAGAGGACACTAGACTGGCAAAATGCCTATATTTTAATAACTTATCCCCCTAATCCCCTTGTAAATGGTGGGATATTATGAAGGATAAGTTTTACTCATCAACCTCTTATAAATGGTCCTCCCTCCTTCATCTTTCAATTTAGACAACAATATCAATATTATGCCTTGATTGCAAATGAAATGTTAGGCATTTTGCTAGTCTACTCTATCCCTAACAAACGAGGCCTTAGTGAATACTCGAGTCTAGTCCTCCCTAACAAACAAGGCCTTAGTGGATACTCGAGTCTAGTCCTCCCTATCAAGGATGACAAATGTATTAAGAAAATGTAATTTTTCTTCTAATGTAAATGTTTTAAGAAACGGAAATTTTATTCTAATGTCCTTTTTGGATGGCACACCAACTGAATTGGAATGCTGAACTTAGATAGATGGCCAAGTTTGTTTATTACCAGCATCTTTTTAATCAGGTATTGAGAAAGAAGGAAGAAATTTTTTATGGAGAATTGTTCAAATATTGTTTTATCCAACTTCCCACATTCTTGCATCCTTTGATTGATATGGATAATGGATTAGTATTCAATGTCAAAGCATGATTGCAGTTTATAGGGTGTTGTTTTATAACATATTTTTCCCATTTGTTTGCGGATGTGGATGTAGGTGATGAAAAATCATTCGCAGATGATGTTGCAGTTGATGCAGAAGGTAATGCGTATGTAACAGATTGCAAAGCCAGTAAAATTTGGAAGGTTGGAGTAGACGGCAAGTTCCTATCGATAATCAGAAGTCCTCTCTTCACTGAAAAGGAGTGGTACAGAAACTTGGTTGGGCTGAACGGAATTGTTTACCACCCGGATGGGTTCTTGATAGTTATTCACACTTTCAGCGGCAATTTGTTCAAGATTGATCTAGCAAAGGGAGAGGAAGTGAAGCTAATTAAGGTA